AAAATAATATTTTTAAAAAAGTTGTATTTTTAAGTGCAATAAAAATCGAAGTTCAAAAAAGAAGAGTTTATATAGTACTAGAGGCCCAGTGCATGAAATTTGTGCGCTCCGAGGGTGGGAGGGGTGGTCCCTCAGCAGTCCCGGCCTGTGCCCTCTCACAGTCTGGGAGACTTCTGTGGATGTCTGACTGATGGCTTAGGCCCACTACCCAGGAGGAGGGGGCCTAACTCAGCAGTCAGACATCCCACCACTGCTGCTGTGCTTGCCAGCTGTGAGCCAGCTCAGGGCTTCTGGCTGAGCAGTGCGCTCCTGCATTGAGCGTTTGTCCCCTGGTGGTCAGTGCACATCATAGTGACTGGTAGTTCCACTGTTCAGTCAATTTGCATGTTAGCCTTTTATTATATAGGACAGTGATGGCGAACCTATGACACGTGTGTCAGAGGTGACACACGAACTCATTTTTTTGGTTGATTTCTCTTTGTTAAATGGCATTTAAATATATAAAATATCAAAAATATGTCTTTGTTTTACTATGGTTGCAAATATCAAAAAATTTCTATATGTGACACGGCACCAGAGTTAAGTTAGGGTTTTTCAAATGCTGACACGCCGAGCTCAAAAGGTTCGCCATCACTGATATAGGATGATGCCATGTGCATATTGAAACATATATGTATGCAGCTATATGCACACATTTCACCCACAATGGAAGGATATGCACTGATAATGGGGAGTATGTGTGATGATAGAGGAATGGGGAAAGATAAACTTACTTTTTATTTTATTTTATCCTTTGATTTATTATTCAATTGACTTAATTGTATGATATATATATATATATATACATATATATATATATATATCTCCTATCTAATAAAGAGAGAATATGCTCATTGCTGTCATGCTGTCGCAAAGATGGCAGCACCCACAGTCAATGAGGGAATATGCTAATTGACTGCCACGCCATCAAAGATGGCGACACTCACAGTCACAAGATGGTAGTGCCCAATCCCCTCAGCTCTGCCAGGGCAGCAGGCGTGCGGCAAGGCCTGGCCACTCCATGCGCCTACTTCCTGAGTCCCCCAGTCCCCTCAGCCCCCCAGCCACCCAGGGCCAGCCTGAGGCACAGGCAAGCCTCAGATGGCAGCCACTCAACCAATGGCCAAGGCGAAGGCAAGCCCCAGACGTTGGCTGCCCAGCCACCTAGGGTCGGCCCGAGGTGCAGGCAAACCTTGGATGGCAGCTGCCCAGCCTCCCAGGGCTGCTCGAGGCTCAGGTAACCAGGGCCAGCCAAGGCTTGCTCTGCCACCAGTGGCAGCAGCAGAGGTGTGATGGGGCGTCGCCTTCCCCTGATCGCTGGGTTGTCTCCTGCCCCTGAGGACTCCCAGACTGTGAGAGGGGGCAGGCCGGGCTGAGGGACCCCCCCCCCCGACTCCAGTGCATGAATTTTCATGCACCGGGCCTCTAGTATATAAATTTAAGCCATTTGCTCAAGATCACACTGCCAGGAGAGGGCAAAGCTAGGATTCCCACCTAGACTGTGAGCCAGAGCCCTGTGATCCAGAACTTTTCTGGATTCTAGCACATTGCCTCCTAACAGTGCTCTTAGTATCAGGAAGTACTTCTGTCTCTTGCTTGTAAGCTACAAAATTTTTCACGAAAATACCTGGAATCAAAACATCCAAAGGCCATGAGCTAGCTAGGAGAATGTGCTCATTCTCCAGAAGAAGGTTTTGTGCCCCCATCCGCCTGCCATCTTGGATCCTTTTTAATAAAATTGTAGCTCAGCCAAGAGAGGTCAGTGACCTGGAGCCAGGAAATACAGACTAAGATTTCTAACAGGACAAATTACCTTAAGGAAAAGGCATTAACATAATTGGAGAGTTGGGGGTGGGGAGAAGGCATGAAAACAGTATCATTAGCCAACTTGGTCAATGGGCAGATGCAGGAAGTGGCAGATAAACCCAGCCAGAATCTATAAATATACTTTAATATTAGTATTCAAAACCTATAAAATAAATTCGTGAATTAAAAACATTGGCACCTAGATATAAACTCTTAGTTCTAAATTTAACTCACGAATTTTTTGTGTGATTTAGGCATATTATTTAACTGCTCTGGGTTTCAGTTTCTCCACTGGTCAAATGGACAGCACTATCTGTCTTGGCTACTTCATAGAGTTGTAAGAAATAAATAAGGCAAGGAATGTACCTTGAAAATGCAAGGCATCCTACTGTTAATGCAAGGATAAGAAGTTACTGTTAATGTTTCTGAAACTTACCGCAGAGAAGAAGAGCTATTTTGAGATGGAAAATGGGAGAAAGCATCCAAAAAGCATTGCTGGTAATAAGGTAGCACACCTAACCAATACCAAAAAGGAACCCCATGTGTCATATTTTCTAGTTCCTCCCTTTTATAGTCATGGACAAAGACCCACAGAGTCCAAAAGCGTCAGAGCAATGATAGTGCCATGCATAGACTATTTAAACCAATAAGTAAGATGGAACAGTAGCCAAAGGGACAGGATATGCTATAGGTCCCTTGCCCAAGGGGCTTGCTGAACTATGAATGTTGAACAGGGTCCTGGAAGCAAACTGAGAAGCTAAGTAAGGAATTAGGGCAGAGGTGGAGGGATGGACTTCAGTGATTCAACTCCAGGATGGCTGAATGCCTCTGAGGAGCAATTTGAGGGTGGCCAGGGACTTGGATAGGACAAATGACAACTTCCTAGAACGGACTGTTCCAGAACCCAGAGAGGAAAGGAAATGGCTTGGCCTCGTCCTGGGTAGTTCACAGGAACCAGGGTAGGAAGTACTTGTAGTGGAACTACAACATCAAGTCCCTTTTGAACTGAAGAAGGAAATGGGGGAGGGGGACATGCAGTGCAGTACACATGACAAGTTAGTTTTTGTAATGGTGGGAGTGAAGATGGAGAGAATGAATCAACAGAGGGAGATAGTGCTATGCAGTGACAAGGTGACTGGACTCAGACTTGGGTGTGAATGCTTGCTCTGTCATTAACTTGCCCTATGACACTTTCCTCCTCTGAATCTTGATTTCCTCATCTCGAAAATAAAGACCTTTTCCCCTATCTCATGAGTCGTTAAGAGGATTAAATATGTTATTGAAAGCAAGTAATACACAGTTCCTAGAATGCGATGGTCAATATTTTAATATATTCTTTTATTTTGGAGAGGGACTTCTAGAAAATCTTCAGTGAAACATGCTAATTTGAAATTTCAAGCACTGGGAAAGCAAACCAACCTAGCTAACAGGTACAGTGTGGAAAGGCCCCCTTTACAAGTAGAGAACCAGCCAAAGTAGACAGATAAGAAAATCTTATGGCAGGGAGGACAGGTTAAGGATAAAGTAGGAATGGATATAAATATAAGCATAACACAATCTGTTTATCAGAGACTGTGAAGCCATCAATGCATTAATGTGAGGTTCCTCCAGATCCATGGCAAAATGGAAGGTGAATAAATGCTATATAACAGTTTGACTCATTTTCTTTCTTTTTAATTTTTAATTTATTAATTTTAGAGATAGAGGGAGGGAGAGAGAGAGGGGAACACTGATTTATTGTTTCACTTATTGATGCATTCATTGGTTGATTCTTGTGTGTGCCCTGACTAGGGATTGAACCCACAACCTTGGCGTACTAGGATGATGCTCTAACCAATTGAGCTAGCTGGCCAGGGCTTGACTCATTTTCTTGATTGCTCAGAAATACAGGATAGGTGTTGTGTTCAATTATAGTAGCTTTACTCAGCATCCTTTTTTTTTTCTTTTTTCTTTTTCTGGTAGCCTCACATTCTTTTTGGAAGTATGGTATGAAGAAGCAAAATAAGTTTCTTTAAAAGTAAACTTCCAAAGGTGGAAACCAAATAGAAAATCAGAGTGAAATGTCAGATGGGGGAAGATAAAGAAACTATAGAAGATTGACTTAGTCTTTACCAGGAACAATATTAGGGAAATTCCTACTTTCAGATTTCTTTGGTAGCCCAAAGACCTGAAATATAAAACTAGAGGCCCTGTGCACAGATTCGTGCACTGGTGGGGTCCCTCAGCCTGGTTCATGGGGATTGGGTGGAAACCAGCTCTCTGACATCCCCTGATGGGTCCGGGATGTCGGTGAAGCAGATTAGGGGCTGAAAGTGCCCAGCAGCAACCTAACCCATGGCCAATTCTGTGAGGAATTGGGCTCCCTCCTCCCTCCTCTTTGGGTCCGGGGTGCAGCTGAAGAAGATTCAGGGCCAACCGTGCCTCAGCAGCAACCTAACCCACGACTGATTCCGTGAGGAATCAGACTCCCTCCTCTACTGCTTGGAGCATCTGTCCCCTGGGGTCATTGTGCATCATAGATACTGGTCAAATGGTCACTTAAGCTTTTATATATATAGACTAGATGCCCAGTGCACAAAATTCGTGCATGGGTAGGGTCCTTTGCAGCTACCGGCTGCTGGCTGGGGCTTCTCTTCCCCCAGCTGCCTGCCACTGCCACCGGCCAGGGCCTCCCTTTGCACCTGCCTTGGCCTGGCGCTGCCTGCTCACCTGCTCCACCATCCCGCCATGGTCCCGCTCTCATTGGGGCCTATTGGGGTTGGCAGTGACTCCACTGATGCCACTGCCAGCGCCGTGTTGCCGACACCTGCCATGTTCTGGCTGCCCCCTGGTGGTCAGCGCATGTCTAACTCCTGGTTGGTTGAACTCTTGCCCATGGGGATAGTTTGCATATTAGCCTTTTATTATATAGGATTACAAAACCTGAGAGTGAAAAGTGCTTTGATTTATTTTATAGGTGGATAAGTTGAACATGTAAAGGAGGGGAAATGGTTTGCTTGAGGCTCTCAATTATGGTGATCCAATTGCGAAGTTAGGCTCTAACCCTAACCCACGTCTCTCGACTGTCTGTCATTCTGGAGTTCTGTCTGCTGTAGGCTCTCTTTGGGATAATGAATTTTTGACCTCAAACACTTATACAAAACTAATTTGTGTGGTTTTTTTTTTATTTTTCCAGGGCCAAGTGCTTTCGGGGCAAAAAAGTCCTTGGAGATTATGATATCAAAGTGGAACAGGTAATCAGCCTGAAGCTTAGAGCTGCATCTGTGTCATCATCAATCCCTCTTGGCATTCCAAAGTGAACCATCTAGTCCTGCTGAGTGGAAGACAGCATCCCTCACTGGATTTCAGGCTATCTCTTGAACCCCACCCTTTCCCCAGGGCTTTTCTTTTTCTTTTTCTTTCTTTTTTAAAAAAATATATTTTATTGATTTTTTTTTTATAGAGAGGAAGGGAGAGGGATAGAGAGCCAGAAACATTGATGAGCAAGAAACACCGATCAGCTGCCTCCTGTGTGTCCCCTAATGGGGATGTGCCCGCAGCCAAGGTACATGCCCTTAACCGGAATCGAACCTGGGACCCTTGAGTCCACAGGCCGACGTTCTATCCACTGAGCCAAACCGGTTAGGGCGCAGGGCTTTTCTTTTAATGAGACATAGTCCTGAAGGCTGTATTTTTCAATTTCTCTGACTTTTTACCATGGTTCTGGTGTCCATAGAGAGGCAAATAGTGTGGCTCTTAGGGCCTTCATGTAGTGCAGGGTTCTCAGGCTGAGGAAAACCTTAGAGGAATGTCTTTCCAAATCACTGGCCACAGCTCCATGTGATTGGTGGCATGGTATTCCTGGGTAGGCATATGTTTGGCATTCAGGTGTGTGGCCTCCACTGGTGACTACTCTGGGCTTAAGGCTATAATTCAGAGAGAACTTAGAAAAGAACACCTCCTTGTTTTAATGCAGTAAAGTCCTGAAAGGCTCATTTTCTATCTTTCTCTATTCTTTGCTTCATGATAAATAGAAATTAGATCCATTTGGGTAGAGAGGTGGGGGATATGCAATTTAAGCAATTTATGTATTTTCTATGTAATAATAGAAGTTACTCATTATTCCTTACACAGTGTGCTGGGGTTTACAGAGTACTTTCCTATCCATTATTGCATTGCATTCAGTTCTTAAAATAAGTTGTTATATAGACAGGGTTGATCAAAATTTTCCTTTTTTTAAATTCTTACCCAAGGATATGTTTTCATTGATTTTTAGAGAGAGGGGAAGGAAGAGAGCGAGAGAGAGAATTGATCAGTTGCCTCCCATACACTTAACAAGTGGGGATTGAATCGGCAACCTAGGTATGTGCCCTGACCAGGAATTGAACCTGCAACCCTTTGGTGTATAGGATGATGCTCCAACCAACTGAGCCACCCAGCTAGGACAAAATTTTTTCCATTTTACACATGGGAGGAACTTTTCCTCCAGAGAGTATAAGTAATTTGCCTAATGTCGTACACAGCTAGTTGGGAGTAGAGCAGAACTAAAACCCAGTTGCCTAATCTAAAACTTAGTGCTTTTATGTTGAAACTGATAAAGGGCACATTTGCCCTGGTTCACATTCCTTCTCTCAGAGAGGCAGCACAAAGGATGCTGGGAGTCTGAAGACCTGAGTTTTGCTTCTTCCCTGCCAACAGTAAGTTTTTTGTTTTGTTTTTGTCTAGGAAAGTTACTTAACTGCTCTTTATCTCTGTTCCTCCTGCCTCATAGAGTTGCTATGAGTTAAATGAGATCAGTTTGTGAAAGTGCTTTGAAAATTGTAAATGTTTGGTGGTGAGGATGTTATTGCTGCTGCTATGTGGGAGATTTGGCAGAGTTAGGACTGTGGACTTATTCCTCTACTGTTATTATTATTTACTTTTTACCATAGTAAAAAACACATAACCTTCTTAATCCCTACTGTTATTTTCCAGGCAGAATTTTCAGAGCTCAACCTGGTGGCCCATGCAGATGGGACCTGTGCTGTGGATATGCAGGTACTCCGGAATGGCACAAAGGTTGTCCGGTAAGGTCCTTTCTCTTCTCGGGGTTACTGTCACTGTCTCCAGAATTACCTTCTCTGGCTTGCAGAGGCAGTTTCAAAATCAAGTGTTGGAGTGGGATAATATTACTATATATAGTGTGTAGAACTTAATGATGTGTGCTATGCAGAAGTGGTACAGGAAGTCAGAGGAAACCAGCTCCTGCCTCAGGGAGCTCTTAGTCCAATGGTAGAGAAAGCTTCATGGACTAAGAGCTTACTTAGAGGGAACTGGATTCCTGTTAGAGGGATTCCAGGACTCCAGCCCCACTTCAACCAGTACAGCCATGTGCTTTTATCTCTGCATATATTTTCCCTGGAAATCAGGACTCTATTGCTTAAAAATAAAGTTTGAAAACCTCTGATCTAGTTCAGCCTCTTATTTTACATTGATTTGCTTAGATTGACTCAGTGAGTTGTTAGCAGAGCTCTGTGTTCTATGTGCATTCTCTTAACTCCAAGTCCTGTGTTATTTCTATATTCCTCATCCCTGGGAACTCATAACTCTAATAGGAAAACCTAGAGTCAGAAGGGACATTATGGGTGGAAGAAAAATATCAATTACAGAGCACTTACATGCCAGATAGTGCAATGGGCACTTACAGATGTGATCAAACATAATACAACATTTCTGTGAGGGAAGTGATGAGAATTCCAGATTGGGAAAATGATTTCAACAGTATTATTCTTACCCAGGGCTTGATGTGGCTTCCGGTTTTCAGATGTGTGAGTCTTGCTCCAGGAAGAGTCTTCCCTATACCAATCTGCAGTGCCCTGACACTGATGCCTCCAGTGTCCAATAGGAACTGGGTCAGCGACAGGACAGGCAAAACTCGGGTCTGGAACCTAACAACAGGAAATGTGAGCTTGTCCATCCTGAGTTCATTCATCCTGGAGACTAAGGAGGACAGAAAAAGAGATAGACGTCTGTCCATACGGGAGTGAGATTGGGGAGATCCTACAAGAGAGATAATAATGGGTTTCTCAAGCTACAGGTAGAGTGAGTCATAAGGGTGCATGCACACAAGCAGGTAGTTACAGGTGCCGGGAGGGATCTGGCAAGAATAAGGCAGGCCCTTCCAGGTACCAGTATAGGATCTCAAGAGCTGGCCACAAATCTAGAGCTCAATTCCTATAACTGGGGTTTAAGATTTGATCTTAGGTACAGCTGAAGCCAGTTTCCCAGAATTGGGGCACTAGGAGGTCAGAGCAGCTCCAGCACTTGATGCTAAGTCTCCTGAGTGACGGAGGAGGGCTCCTTCCATCTCCACTTTAAAAGATTGATCTTTGCGCCTGGGTGGGCTGTAGTTGTAGGGGGAGGTTGGATAGGTGCCTGGACAGAGAACCAGGTAGATCATTGCATATGGTGTGAAATTGCTGAGTCCTAGAGCCTTGAGGGTGAAAGCTGCCACGGAATTAAATTTCTGAGAAGATGAGGTTCCTCAGGAGTAAGGGCATGAACATAGGGGCCCTAGTCCTGTAGAGCAGCTGTGGTTAAGAGCTTTTCTGGCTAGAGGTGAAATGCAGGGAGCCTTCCCATGCATGGGAACATTCTGTACTCTCAGTGTTTCCTGTAGCTGTTGCTCAACCTCAGTTCTGCAAAAAATATTTGTACCTCTCCCTAGTGTCCGCTTTAGAAGAATAACATTGGGAAGTCTGGCATCTGGTTTTAGCCAGCTTGGACCCTTGCTCTCCTGGGGGCCTGATGAGGGCATTGCCTATTTTAAGGAGCAGTTTTATTGACTCAAAACAGGACAGTGTCTGCTGGGACCCCCTTGGAACACCAATTCTGGAGCCACAAGGAGCTTCAACTTTTATACTAGCCCATAGTGATAGGGAAAATTCTTGTTCGTTTAAGGTGTGAGGATCTAAAAGTGTTTCTTCCCTCCTGAGGGCATTTGTACCTTATAAAAAGGCAGTGCTTAACTGAGAAGAATAAGGGAATTTTAGAAATATGTTTCTCAGCCCTAGCCGGTTTGATTTAGTGTTTAAAGGGTTGGCCTGCGGACTGAAGGGTCATGGGTTCGATTCCAGTCAAGAGCACATACTTTGGTTGCAGGCCTCGTCACTGGCCCTGGTTGGGCGCGTGTGGGAGGCAACCATTCAATGTGTCTCTCTCACATTGATGTTTCTCTCTCTGTGTCTCTCCCCCTCCTTTCCACACTCTCTAAAAATCAATGGGAAAAAAAATCCTTGGGCGAGGATTAACAACAACAAAAGGAATATGTTTCTCCTTGAGATATGCCATAATACCTCATTTTTAGTCCATAAAGAATAATAATAATAAAATAAAGGACTTGGACCAGGTGGCCCCTAAAACCCCTTCTCTGTCTTGGGCTTTGGAAATGGGAGACAAGGTGATGTACAACCTGAGGTGCTGGTTAATGGCAAACTTGCCTCTACATTTTTACCAGGTCCTTCCGGCCAGATTTTGTGCTCATCCGGCAGCATGCATTTGGCATGGCGGAGAATGAGGACTTCCGCCACCTGATCATCGGCATGCAGTATGCAGGCCTCCCCAGCATCAACTCACTTGAATCCATTTACAACTTCTGTGACAAGCCATGGGTGGTAAGTGAGATTCCCTTCCCTCTAAGTAAAAGGGTAGGATCCAGGTCCTATATCTCCCAGTCCCCCAGGAGGGACCACTGGTAAACAAGATGCAGTACTTACCAGTTGAAAGGATATGTGAAGAGCTTCAGCTGGAACATGGGAAGAATAGGCTCTCACAAGAAAACATTATCATCATGGGCTGGGGCACCTTAGCTGCATGTGGACCTTTGGCCTTACAACAAAGTCACACCAAGATTCTGTGCAGAAGCCCTTACAAGTCTGTAAACTCTGCCTTCAGCCATAGGATACAACGATAAAAATAACTGTTTCTGCCTTTGAATGGTCTAACCATTGGAAAGGTCTGAGGCCAATGGGGATCAAGAGGATGGTCCATCTCAAAGGGGTGTTAGTGACAGTCTTACCAAGTGTTTTAACAACCTCAAAATCAGATTTATCTATCAATATATGAATCAGACACTTATATGAGATGTAAGTGCCCTTAGAGATAATCAAATCTCTGCCCTTCATGTAGATATATGAAAATTAAAAAAGGAAAGTAAGGAGTGTAAAACCACTTACTATATGGTGCCAAATTCTGAGATTTTCCTATTTTAATTTTATTTAATCCTCACAATAACCTTACAAGGAAGATATTATTATCATTATTATCACTTTTTATAGAGAAATGAGACCCAGAGAAGATTAAGTTACTTACCAAAGTTATAGAGCCAGGATTTCTCTAGATTGCACTACCATACACATAAATTAAGTTAGCATGTGAGGAAGACGCCTCATGTGTTCTCTTCTTTGGCCAGTCTGGAAATCTGGGAGGCAGTGGAAATTTCTGAGCAGAGAGGAAGAGTGAGGGTAGGAGGGAGAGTGACCTCTGATGGCTACTGGGATGCTCTGGCCTCCCCTCTGATAGCTGGGGCAACCCAGCTCCTATAACTCTGCTACTCCAGGCTGGGCCTCTCAGAAGGAAATACCTGCCCCTAATCACATTCTTATTGTTTTTCAAAAATCAAATTTCAGTTTTCACACACTAGCCTGCCGAGAGTCAAGGCACTGGTGGCTGATTGTGAAGTTCCTGAACCCCAAGCCTCTCCACCACTCAGGGAACTGGAGGGGATGTTTTAACCAAATAGATCCATTGCCTCTGCTCTTGATCTTTTTTTTTTTTTTCACACCTGAACTCACAGTTTTCCTGTTCCCTTGGAAGCCAGCAAGATCTGACAGTATAAGAGAAAAAGCAATGAATGAGGAGTCAAAAGATCTGGGAGCTATTGTGGTTGAGGAGGGAGGTTGGGTTCCCAACCTCTACTTGTTCAGCCTTTCCCTCTGTGTGGCCGGTGGCATCTGGAATCCTAGTATTATGGGAACAGGCTAAAAGAGTTTTGTGCTTTGAGTGTGTTGCTATTTGCAGAAGAGCACATATGAGGCTTTCACCAAACTTCTTTTCTGAGGTCCTCCCCTTTCTACTTAGTCATGTGTCCTTCCTTACTACACTAGTATGCCCTAGTCCTTCCCCCATCCCTTCAATACCTATTAGAATTTGGCTCCCTCGTAGTCACACAGGGTGAGTCTGCTATTATCAGCTTTTTCTGGGTGATTTCACTAATCAGCCTTCTGACTAAACATCTCTCTATGCTATAGTTTTTTTGTTGTTTTTGTTTTTGTTTTGTCAACTAGCAATAATAGTAGTACCTGCCACCAGTTTGCTAGCCTGGGTTGTTACAATCTCCTACTATTTGGGGTATCTTATAAAAGCTGGTTCCCTGCTTTATGTTTCAAAACTGTGCCAGGGGCCAGGGAGGGGAGAATCAGAGAGCCTGTGCCTAGGGCTTTGCCCCTCCAGGGATCAGGATCTGGTGAGGGTTCACATTCTTACCCATTCACAATCCCAGCACATTGCTTTTGGCATTGCGTGAGAACAGCAGGGCTTCCTGGCTAGACACCAAGTTCTCCCTTCATTTTTACTCAGCAGCTACCATACTAATGGCATTTTATATATTGTCCTCTGCCTGTTAATGGGAATGGACAAATTTGGTGCCTGTGAGGGGAGGGGTCCCCCTGAGATGTGGCTTTGGTTCATATTTTCTTAAATTTCTTTATTGTGGGTATCCTTGGTGTGAGGCCTTAGTTGGTTGGAAAACGTCTACCTTACATCACTGCATTTCTGAGCACATCTGCTATCTCATAAATTGGTCAGGGCAGGCACACTTGGATTTTGGAAATAGAAGTGGACTTATGAATGAAAGGAGCATTCCACAGAAAGCAAGAACATCTCCATACCATATTACTACACATTTATCTGAAATTCCTGTCACACTTTTTAGGTTTTTTAGAGACAGATGCACTAGGGTTGAATTAAGTGTTTTATTTCCAGGAGGGATGAGGGCAAATTATTGAATTCAGACTGATCTTGAAGTCCCATTTCTTCCAGATAGTGTTTCCTGATTCATTGGTTAAGCGGTTTCAATGAACATTATCTTCCTATTTGTTGCCAAAATCACCCCCAGGTCCCAAATCCATTCTTTTGTCTGTAGATAGAGGAAATAACCCTTATCGAATATTACGTTTGTTTAATTGGTGACTGTGTGCTTGTGACTTAAACTAAGGTTCCAAGAAGGCAGGGGTTAGATGCCAAGCCCAGTATCTTGAGGACAGGACTACTGGAGGTAAGGTTGAGAAGGGTAGGGTGAGCTACCAGCGACCCAACTAATGCCTGGGAACTGGCTACCATTTTAGTCTTGGCTGTCCCAGGACTCTGGGAGTGTGCCGTGGGGCTTTCTGGCATCAGTGTGGTGCCTGTGTAACTCTCCCACATGTTGGGAAGATAGGGACCCACATGCCTTTGTGCTTTGCCAGGGCGTGGGCTGCAGCAGGACAGAGGTTGTTAAGCAGAGCTGGCTGGGGATGCTGAAGGGCCTTGGGAGCTGATGCAGAGCAGGAGTCTAGCCAAATTGAGACTTAAAGATCAGATCAGGTGGTGGAGAGAATCAGAGAGGGCAGGAAAGGTATGAAGCATTGGTCTGTATAGTCAAAGCCAGTTGAAGAACCATAGAGTGGTGAGAGCACCAAGGTGCAATGAAGAATGCAGTGGGAAAGAAGAGACCTGGCAGCCTCGATTCCAGGCATGGTCTGGGAGCCAAGGCTTTCCTTTGCTTCTCTAGGTTCGGTCTCGTCACCTGTAAAATGAGATGTTTAGTCCAGAGCGCTCTAAAGTCTCTTTCAGTAATAACCTCCTAGGGGCTTGCACGTCTGTGAATCATGCTTTCAGTCCTGGTGGATGTTTAGAGATCTAGAGTCACCAACCAATCACTAAGGAAGTGATTCAGAAATGTCAACATTTTCCAGCATTTCAAAAACAATAACAAAATTCTCTTTTCCCACAAAAGGACCACAAGAGATGATCACTTAAACTGCAGTTTGATGATGGAGTTTGTGAGGAAATATAATAAAAGATGTTATTTGTGGTAAAAAGTTTGAGGAACTGATCAAGTTCATTTCTCTCATTTTGTATATAAAGAAAATGAGGCCTGGAGAGGAGAAATCATTTGCCAAAGGACACCTAGCAAGTTAGAGGCAGAACAAGAATCAGAAGACTCCAGTTTTCTAATAACCCAGTTCTGAGCTTTTATTACTTCAGCCTCTTTCTCTCCAGGCGCATGTGCCAACATCCCTTATAGAGAACAGGATCTAAGCTTTGAAAAATGTTCTAGCTTCCCTTTCTCTGATAAATAGAAGGCAGGTTTGATCTGGCAACTTTTCCTTCTCGCAGTTCCAGAAACTGGGGCTTAGACTGTGAAGTAACCCAGTAGCACTAGAGGAAGGATGCTGGATTACCCCTGCTGCCAATGTACTGGGGATAGGTCTGTGGGGTGTGTGTGAATGTATTGAGTAGGGAAGTAACCTGTGTTTCCTGTGTGAAGAGCATGGTTTCTGCAGAGACTGAAAGAAAGGCAGCTACTTGGAGGAATAGAAAGAGTTATGAATTGAAAATAAAGGGATCTAACTATGAATCTGGCTCAACCATGTGACCTTGGGGAAATGATTTGACTGGGTCTCAGCTTCTTCACTTATAAAATTGTGGGGGAGGGGAGCAGAGGATGCTAGATATTTGCCAAAGGCCTTTCAACCCTGACACTGTAAGTATGCATACTTCACCTCTTCCTCATGGAGCTGTTCTGGTTTCTCATAGATGAAGGGGCTAGTTGAGTTTAGTTCTTAGATGAGTAGTAAGTTCCACAAAGACTGAGTCTGTCTATCCTATATACCAGGACCATCAAAATCTTCCTGAAGAACAGCTTCATAGTTTCATTCATTACCCCCCTGCTCAAGCTCTGATTACTTCATACTACCTATAGGGAAAAGATACTGTTTCTTTGCCTGGCATTTAAACTTCCAAGACTTGGCCCATGTTACCTATCCAGCTTCATCACTTGCCATTTCGAGAGATGCAGAGTTTAGAATTAGAGAAACAAATTTCAATCTCAGCTTCACCTCTTTGCAGCTCTGTGACTTTAGGCAACTTTTATACCCTCTCTGAGTGTTATATGTAAAATGAAGATGATAAAGTACCCAGTTCCTCACTTTAATATGAGGCTTCAATGAAATATTAAAATTGAGTAGGTACTGAATGAATGTAAGCTCACTCTCTCATTTTCTCAGTTAAAGAATATGTTCCTTGAGAATAGGAATTGTACACCTCTTTTATATCCTCAGAGCACAAATTCCTCAACAGAGCAAGTGCTCAATAAATATTTTTTGATAGATTGCTGTTTTGTCTGTTCTATAAGTTGTCTAGATAAGCTGAAACATTTGTTTCTCTTTTACAGTTTGCCCAGCTGGTGGCCATCTACAAGACATTGGGAGGAGAAAAGTTCCCACTAATTGAGCAGACATACTACCCCAACCACAAAGAGATGGTAGGTGATCAGGTGGGGACTTTAGTCTCTGTTATTTCCACTCTGAACTTATTCACATTGTAACTGTGGGGCTCTGAAGAGGGTTTTCATATCTTAACCCCAGTTGGAGCTGAACTGCAGACGTGCTTTGTGAGGCCAGAGTGGCTGTATTTTAGCTTATAGTCCCTTGTCTCCAGTATCTGGAGACAGAATCGGGAAGAGCAGAAACAAGGCATTTTATCAAGCTGAGAAAATAACAAACCTATGGACCAGTAATCAAAAGATCCCACTCTTTGGATTCTAGCCCTGGCCCTGCCACATGTCATTGGACTAGTTAAATGTACTAGTGCACTAATTCACTTTGTGTCACTTTCCCAACTAGAAAGTCAAATGGGCATAATTATTCCTAACCAGGATCTCAAATTTGGCACAAAATTTAAGTAATAGCCTTCTGGGAAAATGTGAAGCATCCCTCAGATGTCAGGTGTTATTCCTGCTATTATTACCAAGGCCTTTTATTCCCTTGGCTTTGTCAAGATTGTGAGAAGACTGGGTTAACATTATGCCTTCTCTGAGGCCATCCTAGGATATCAGAAGGGGCAGAGAGATGGCATCCTTGATTGGTTTTTCCTCCATGGAGACCTGGAGCTCACTTCCTCTTCTTCCCCCTCTATCTCCACACCCTCTGCCCCAGGCCTGCATGGTCAGTTGGTGATCATGCTTAACTCACCAATGGAGACTCTCTGCCATAGCATCCCACTTGTACTCTGGGACAGACATTATGTTTGTTACCCTCTTACTCCCTTCTCAAAAAGGAACTACATTTGTACCATTTCTGTGAATCAAGAGCCTTCTTCTGGAATTTTGTGCATGGCCTTGCTTCTCATCAAACAACATATAGAAAACAAATAACAACAACCTTGAGCCTTGAATAGAACTACCTCCTTAGAGGTAGAGCTTCCCAGGGAGAGGCTCTGGAACTTTAAGCTCTTGTCCTTAATAAATCCTTGAGACCAACATCAGGGCTTAAGAGATCTATGCTTGGAGTTCTCAGGGAGTCCAATACACAGTGGTAAGGGGACTGAGTTGAAGGAAGGATGGGGACCAAACCTGGATTTTTTTGCTGCAATATTTAGCCGGGCTAACCACAAAAAATTTTTTTAAAAAATTGCAAAGTATATTGTCTATCTACCATCCTTTCCCCCCAAGAGCCCCTGTGTTATTTCTCTTTTGTACTCTATCCTGAAATTTGCCCTCCAGAGAAGACCTCCTGAGATCTCTCTGAGGTGTCAAAATCTAAAGGAGAATTTCAACTCTAGGGTTTTCTGGCTTAAAAAAAAGTTTTGAAGTAGGAATGAAGACATTAGTAATCTAGTAGAGAAGGACTTTCTAAAAGAAACATAAAAGAAGACTTATGGACATCAAGTGAAGGTATTAATGATAGTTAACCTGCAGAGATAATACCTAAGTCTATTCTTATCCAAAGAGGTGTGCTAGGGGACCAGACCCTCTGCCAGGAATGGGACAGAGGAGATTACAGCGTGTAGTGGGAGGTTAGGCTATTGTAGGTCTCACACTGAGTGATTCTATGCCCTTGCAAGTCACTTCCCCAAACCAATGAAAGTTTAAGAGAGGATCAAGATGAGCTGAGATTGGAGTAGAGGATACACAGCCATACTATGTTGGTCTTTTCATTCTTCCAAATCAGCCTATTTATGATACTGTCAACCTGTCTTCCAGTGTTGTACATCAGATAGCTACACTATCTCATATGAATAGCATTCACCATTTCTTCACTATTAGTTCAATTAAGGTAAGAGAAAATACATTTTCCTAGAGAGAAAAGGGAATAGTTCTGGCCAGAACTATTTTGATTCTAATCCAGAATCAAAACTTTCAGTAACAGGTATTGGCTAGAATAAAAAGTTTGGGAGGCAGGAGAGAAGGGCTGAGGGCAGGATACTTTCCCTAGCCTTTGACATGTGTGGGCTGGCGTTTCAGACACAAGCTGTAACATACCCTAGCCCTGCTCTAACACTAGCCAGACTGTCCACTTGGTACTTCCCCTTGGCTGGCAGCAATGAGGCAAGTGGTGATCGCCAGAGCTCTGTAGAGAGGAAGAACTGGCTTGGTCTTCAGAACTCCTGAAGGAATGTGGTGGTCATTGTTCTTTACTAGGGCTGGATTATGTCAACAAACTCCTTCCTGAGGGGCAGGCGTCCCTGGTACCAGCTGCAGGTGCCATCAACATGCTTCATGCAGACATAATGCCGGGCCTGGTACCCATAGAGTTTCCGTTCCAACAGCCAGTCTGTCCAGAGGCACTCGTTGGGGGCTGAGATGGTGCAGGGCACTGTATAGCAGGTGGTGACCTAGAGTCATAACAACACAACATCAAAGTGAGTAGGGTGTCATTTTTTTACAATTTTTTTTCAGATTCATATACATCCTTACAACCTAGCTCAAATGCCCTTGCCTTATGAAGTCCTTCGTAGTCTCTAAAATTCCCCAAGTTTTCCTTCCCCTTTGTTTCCCACATAGTTTTGCCTCTCTAATGGCATTTCTGGAGTCAGACAAACCTGAGGGTCCTTACTCTACCACTGACCTTGAGCAAATTACTTTCTAGAGCATTCATTTCTTTAAAATGGAAATCTTAATTATTTATGCATTTGTTATAAAGACTACATTAAAATATTTAAAATAAATTGACCATTAGAAGGCCTGATAAAGAATAATTTCTGTTAAAATGGTAGCTATACTATTTCAGTTTGCCTTATATGATGCCACCTTCCTTGCCAAAATGTTAAGTACTTTGAGATCAGGGAGTATGGATCATCTTGCTTTCCCATCTCTAACTTTATACAGTACCTGATCCATGGCAGATCTCAAGTATACTATAGTAAATGAATAGATGCATGCATGAAGGAAGAAGTACCATCAGCAGGTGCCATTAAAGGTGAGGCTGAAAGGCTCAAGACCCCCCCCCCCCAAACCCCCCACCAGAGACCTTAGAAATGGACATCCTCTTACTTGGCAGCCACAGTTCAGATGGTAGTGGTGATTCAGACTTTCTTTTTGCAAAAAGGATAGATTCTCCCAGGGCTCAATGTAGTTGCACAGATGGATGAAGACTTTTCCATCATTGAGGACCTGACCTACAAAGGGAGATAGAGGAGAGCCCAGCATGAGGAATATGTTTGTGAAACTCCAAAAGCCTGGATCCTTGAAGAGCCGAGAATTGCAGCCTCTTTAATGTGTTTTTTGTTGTTGTTGTTTTTTGGTTTTTTGTTGTTATTTTTTGGTGGCAGTGGTGACATAAGACTCAATTAAGGGACCAAAAAAAATCTCTATAATCTTTATATCAGAGATTATGTTTGTACAAAGGAAAGTTGTGGGATAAAGGCCTTTTCCTTTAGTGTGATGCAGAGAAAACATGGGCTATAAAGGGAGATTCTTGGTGAAACCCCTTTCTTTTCTGTCATTTACTAGATGTGTGACCTTAAGAAAGTCATGTAACTTCTCAATTGGAAGATGAGAATGATACGGTTATTGTCAGGATTAAATGATAGAATATTTGGTAAAGCTTCTGGCACAGTAGTAGGCCCATAGAAGATGCTCAATAAATAACAGGGCCCTTCCCCTTTCTAACCCTTCCCAATATCTACATAGGCCAGTCTTCTGCTCCATTGATACCTATATTGGTATGTCTTTCTCCTTCTCTATGGGAACGTGCCCCTTCTTTACTTATCAAATGGTTTCCTATCATCCAAAGACCCTTTTCAGTACCACCTCATCCTCAAAGCCATCCCTGACCATGCTAGCTCACATCTCTTAGAACTTTAGTCATTCATTTACTTACTGAGCAACTACTAGACCTGGTATCATGAATGCAGAAATAAATATGGTAGGATCTTTGATCTCAAGGAGCTTAAAAACAAGTAGGTCAGACAGATAAATAGGCAAAAATTACACTGTTATCTATACTAATAAAAGCCTAGGTGGTCCTTGCGCCCTTGTGCAACACTCTCACGTCATCACAAGATAGCCACCCCCATGTCATCACAAGATGGCCACCACAAGATTGCCGGCAGGGGAGGGCAGTAGTGAGCAATCAGGCCAGCAGGGGAGGGAAGTTGGGGGTGAACAGGCCTGCAAGGAAGGGTAGTTGGGGGTGACCAGGCTGGCAGGGGAGGGCAGTTGGGGGCAATTGGGCCAGCAGGGGAGGGTAGTTGGTGGCCATAGGGCCGGCAGGGGAGGGCAGTTGGGGGCTATCGGGCTGGCAGGGGAGGGCAATTGGGGGCGATCGCGCCAGCAAGGAAGCAGTTAGGCATCAATCAGGCCAGTAGGGGAGCTGTTAGGGGGCGATCAGGCTGGCAGGTAGAAGTGGTTAGTGGCAATCAGGCAGGCAGGCAAGCAAGCGGTTAGGAGCCAGCAGTCTCGGATTGTGAGAGGAATGTTTGACTGCTGGTTTAGGCCCAATCCCACAGGCAGTCAGACATCCCCCAAGGGGTCCCAAATCTTTTATATAAACACTAGAGGCCCGGTACACAAAATTCGTGCACTGGAGGGGGGCAGGCTGGGCTGAGACACCCTCTTCCAGTGTACAAATTTCGTGCACCGGGCCTCTAGTGTTTATATAAAAGATGCAGTATAAGAACAAAGGAAATCACAATTATCTCTGTCTGTGGAAGGGGCAGGGGGCAAGGAAGCTGTCTAAGAGAAGATGATGCTTCTGTTGAGCTTTGAAAGGATGGTTAGTAGTTTACCTGCCAGACAAGTTGGGGGAAAGACTTCTGGACATTGGGACTTCCTGTACAAGGTGGAGGGGCACAGCCCAGCAGAATACCTTCTATAACTGCAAGTAGTTTAGTTTGGCTCTGGGGAAAATGAGGGGCTGGAAACTCAGTGATAAGTGGCAGGAGACAAAACTGGGGAGGTCAGCAGTGTTATGATCACAAAGGACTTTCATAGTACAGGACAATGAGCTGGACACAACGCTACAGGAAAGGTCTTAATTTCACATAGTAAAGGAAAATTGTGTGTGGGATCCCCTCTCCCTCAACACACACATTATAGTTACTGTAGCCTGTCATGGCATTAGCTTAGACAGCCACACTGGATCACAGAGTTTGTGACAAAGGAAGAGTTTGTCAAGAGTTTGTGACTTCTCTTGAAGAGCATGGACATCACTGATGACTTTTCACTAGACCTGTGTTTTGTCATTTATTTTCATCCTTGGTTAGATTTGACCTCCTTGAGGGCAGAAAGCATGCCTCCTGCTTTGACTGATGCACCACAGTGCCTAGCAGTGGGCGAAGCACACAGAAGGTAGGTACTTAGGAAGGAAGGAATGGCCTCATCTGCTAGTCCTGGGATGTGGAGGGCTCAGTGGCATGCTCTGCCTCTGCCTCTCTCATCCAGAGGCTCCCAGATCAGCACAATTCCACATTCTTAGAGCTGGGGAGCCCCGACCAGTGTGTCCTTCAATGCTTATGAGTTCTCAAGAGTCAAGTTTGGACTATGAGCTCTTTGAGGACTATGACTTGTGACTGAGTCTTCACTCTCCTGTCCAAGGCCTGGCAGCAACTAGGTGGTCATTCATTGCTGAGTGGGTGGACAGATAGTGGAATTTCTCCTTATCTGCTGTGTTTTTCTTTTCCTTGCCTTTCTAAGAATTTTTCATCCTTCAGGGCTAATTTAGATCTCACGTACACAATGAAGCTTCCCTAACTGTTTATAAGCACATAAATACCTTCTTCCTGAACTACAAAATACTATAGTATAGCATTCACTCACTTATAGAGTCATAGTTTTATGTGGTTCTTTAATGTTCTATCCCAACCAATTTAGCATGGAGTTTACCTGCCAGACAAGTTGGGGAAAAGACTTCTGAACATTGGGACTATCCTGTGCAAAGGTGGAGGGGCACAGTCCAGCTGAATACCTTCTATAATTGCAAGTAGTTATACCTGGGCCCAAGTTCGTGGAAACAGAACCATGTTAGACTCAAGGCTCCTATTAGAGTTTGTGCTTTACTATACCCCCTAATAGGGCCTGGAGTGTGAGTTAGCCACACAGACTCACTATGAGTCAGGAGTGTGATCCAGTGTGGCTGTCTAAGCTAATGCCATGAGAGGCTACAGTAACTATAATGTGTGTGTTGAGGGAGAGGGGATCGCACACACAATTTTCCTTTACTATGTGAAATTAAGACCTTTCCTGTAGCGTTGTGTCCAGCTCATTGTCCTGTACTATGACAGGAAAGGGACAGGGACAATATCCCATTGGAGAAGATGGCCAGCAGACCTGAAGTTAGAGTGCTTGCATCTATTGTCCTCAGGCCTCTGATGCATCATCATAGAGCAGAGGGCAGAGCTGAATCCACAAAGAGCAGTTTCAGAGGGGCAGACTTGGGCTCAAGATACCAAAAATCTTACGCCAATTATAACTGTTAGAAAATGGAACCAGCTACCCTAGGCTGTGAGAGCAACCTGTTTCTAAAATAGTGAAACAGTGGCCAAGGTCACTGTAATGAGTATTCTTGCATTGAAAGGGAGGTAACCAAGGCCCCTCCTGATTCAGAGGTTGCCTCTTAGTAAGGAACACAGCTCTGTTTTATACCCAAGAATGTGTTACCTGCTCAGCTTGCTGCACAAGGGCAGCCCTGGCTCCTCCTTGGCTGCCTTCCTTAGGACAGAGACTACTGGGGCCATTTGCTGCTCTTTAACTTACCAGTCAAGAGATACTGCTTCTGGCTGTTTGCTTCTAGTTTCACACCACAGAGGGAGGAATCAAAAGGTGTATAGATATACTGAATATCCTTGACTTTCTCAAATCCTTTAAACATCTGAAAGACAATTACAAAAAAGCAGTATTATATTAGGTCAATGAGTGAACTTTATATTTTAAGAGGGAAAATTTCTCATTCTAAAAAAATTTCTCAGTCTAAAGAAATTAAGCAAATGTCTAGTTCAGGATTTGATGCACACAGATGGCCTAACTGGGTCATTTCTATTTTTTAAAAAACCTTGGTTTATTCCAGTGAGAGGGGAGGTACCTCCAGAAGCCCCATGCACAGGCAGCTATAGGACTAGAGGGACATTGAGGGTCTGTCCTGCACTGTCATTCAGATTCTGTGGGCCCTATTCCTAAAATGTCATCCACTTCCACTTTAGCATCAACACCCAGGATCACTGAGCCAGATTGCCTGACCTATAAGCGCCACCCTTCCCAAAACACACACCCTAACCCTCCCAAAAGCCCAGAAGGTAAAAGTGCTATACTGTCCCCATGTACCTTTATCTGTTTGATTTCATACCGGATCATTTTTTGAGTGTCAGCAGGATCTGCACTGGCAGGAATTACCTTCTCACTGGAGATCTTGGCCCGGATCACTGCATAGGAAGCAAAAGAGGGAACCTTCAACAACCTGTGGGGGTAATTTGGGTCTGGATGGCCTGGGGCCCCTGGAGAATTTGTAGGAGAATTCTGGATTGTGAGGAGGAGGATATGAGAGAGTGGGGACCTGGAAACTCCTGTGCAGGCAGGGCTATTAGGTCCTACAGTCTCTACACTTCACTTGCTAGTTTTGAGTCTAGCTCATAGACCAGAGACTGGGGGTGGGCATCAGGATAGAGGAGGGAGAAGGAGCCCATTGAAGGTAGGTCAGTGTGGTCATCTATTGATGTAGCCCAAGGCCTAAAACAGAGCCTGCCCAGAGTTTTGGTATCTTGAGCCCAAATGTTTATTGAATTAATAAATGATCTGACCCTGCACAGAGGTAGCTCATCTTTTGCCATTTGGTAATTAATAAAAAACTATTCATGAAGTTCTTCCTCTGTGCCTGGCCTAACACTAGGTACCAGGTCATAGATGTGATTAAGACAGGGTCCTCTATCCTGCAGAACTCTTGGTCTGGTGGAGAACACATTTGCAAACAATAGCACAGTATAGTAGGAGCACAAAAATGTTAAAAATGCCATGGTAGCACCAAGGAGTCAGGAAGGCTTCAGAGAAAAGGGGATACCTGAGTGAGACTTTGAAGAATGAATAGGTGTTTGCCAGGAATTTAAGGATGGGGGGAAGGGCTTTCCAGGCAGAGGGAAGCGAAAGGGTAAAAGATGTGTATTGGTGTGAGTGTATGATGGCTCAGTTATATGTAGGCTTGGACACAGGGAGGTTTATAAGGAAAGTCCAACCTCCTGGCGCTGGCTTTCTCCTCCCCCCATCCTGTAGTTCAGAATAATCACAGGATAGTTCCAGTGACTTGTTTAATGACAGTAGGCAGGGGTGAGGGGGCCGCTATGGAGGCCCCTTACACAGTCTTAATTTCCTTACAAGTCAGCCAAGCTCTGCCCCTGCAAGGTTGCTATGGTGCCGGCCTTGCCCATCAACCCCAACCGGAGGCAGCTGGTGCAGGATTTGAGCTCCTCCCATTCCCTCCAGACTACAGGTCTACAGCAATGCCCCGTGCTAATCACACACAACCACCCCCAGCTGTGTACCTCCCAGGCCTCCGGACTCACCAAGCGAGGAGTGGCAGACATGCTGCTGGGGGTGCGAGGGGGCGCAGCTGCACGCCTCGCCCAGCCCTGGCGGCCGCAGCAATGCCAGCAGCCGCAGCAACAGCGCCCAGCTCGATACGGTCTGGAGGCTCCGGGGCATGACACTGCAGAACCCCAACTAAGCCTGTGGGGTCTGTCGGATCAAACAGACTCTCCAGGGCACTTTCAGAACGCCTCGCGCCCCTCGCCCTAGGCTTTATGAGGTGGACCTAGGGCCAATCCCGCCCTGTGGGCTCCGCCCGCCTTTGGCTGTAAGCCACCCGCGGCTACAGGACCCACGGCCCTCCTGACTGGCAGCCTCAATAAAATGAAGAGGGAAGCCAGGAGAAGCCCTTAGCTTCCATTTCTGTGCCTGAGCAATTAAGTCTCCCAGAAGTGGAGGGAAGGCACTGGGAGAGGGGATGGTGTAACGGCAAAAAGAAAGCACAACAAAGACAAATGCAAGAGGCAGAAGACCAAGGGACTGTGATTCAGGCAGAAAGAACAAGAGTGAGGAGAGGCGCAAACAGAAAGTGAGACAGGCAGAGTCATCGAGAGGCAGACAGAATTACAACAGGCAAAAGACAGTGACAGAGAAGGACGAACCCCTTGCTGAGCTGCACACTGGGAATGAGACAAGCTTCTCAGGGCTTCTTTCAGCTGCAGGAAGTGTTTTCAATGCCCTATTTAGGAGGCTCCAAAGCAACAGTAAACAGTAACGGAATGAGACAGAGAAAGTTGGGGTGTGTGTGTGTGTATGTGTGTGTCTTGGCTCTGTCGGCTGGGGGGTGGGGAGAGAAGTCAGAGAAAGCAGCCAGTGCTTTAGAAACCCTTTCCCATACCCCGAGCTTCAGACTGCAGATGGCTGAGGACAGTGCATTTGGTGTGAGCTCAAAGCACAGAGTATCTCATTACCTAGCATAAACCTGGGACCTCAAAGCCTCTTCAGATAGTAGCCTACTGATTCCTATCTCATGTTGCTACTCACTGGAGAGACCATGTCTTATACAAGGTGGGGGCAAAGGTAGGTTTGGAGAGTAGTTCTTTTAAGTTTTCATTATTTGTTAAAATACAGCTACCTCAAAGGAGAATTTACCCTCATAAGGATCTCTTTCAAATTACAAACATGTTGACTTTTTATGTCAGCTCTCTTCCAAACCCCAAGCTGGGCAGAAAGAACATACTAGGCCAATGACGGCAAACCTTTTGAGCTCGGCATGTCAGCATTTTGAAAAACCCTAACTTAACTCTGGTGCCGTGTCACATATAGAATTTTTTTCATATTTGCAACCATAGTAAAACAAAGACTTATATTTTTGATATTTATTTTATATATTTAAATGCCGTTTAACAAAGAAATCAACCAAAAAAATGATGACATGTGTGTCATAGGTTCACCATCACTATACTAGACTGTTTGTTGGTTGAGCTTGGGATGTTGGTGAGCAATGAAGAGACTGTGAAATGTGGAGAAAAGACAGGTTCAGTATAGGAAAGCTAGATGTTTGAGCGGGAGGGGAGGAGCCTAAAAGGGACATGACAAAAGGGACATTAGATTCCAAAGATATATTCCTTTTGTAATTATCGTTTACTAGAGTACAATTTGCATACAGTAAAATTCACCCTTTCAAAGATGCATTTTTTTCACCCTAGCCGGTTTTGCTCAGTGGATAGAGCATTGGCCTGTGGACTGAAGGGTCACCTGTTCGATTCCGGTCAAGGGCACATGCTAGGGTTGCCGGCTCCATCCCCAGTAGGGGGCATGCAGGAAGCAGCCGATCAGTGATTCCTTGTCATAACTGATGTTTATATCTCTCTCTCCCTCCCCCTTTCTCTTTGAAATCAATAAAAAACATATTTTAAAAAAGATGCATTTTTTCCAATTCTCCAGTCCTGCCCTGTGTTTGTCTAATGCAGAGAAGATTGAAACAATTAGTTTTAAAGATGTAGAGTACCAAGTAGGAAAACAGAGTTCTTATAGATCTGCCATTAACATGCTGGGACCTTAAGCAAGTTACTGTCACTCTATGGGCCTCGGTTTTTGTATTTGTAAAGCACATAGGTTGGACTAGTTTTTTAAAAGGCCCTTCCAAGGGTGTTCCCAAGAAAAATATTTGTAACATTTCACAGAAAAACAGGCACACTCTGACCAATTCATTCTTTTCTCCTCTGCTTTCAGCTGACATTGCCCACATTCCCTGTGGTGGTGAAGATTGGCCATGCTCACTCAGGCATGGGCAAGGTAAGGCTGGGGCCTGCTGTGCTTTGGAATTGAGGCCAAGAAGAGTACTTTTCAGAGAGTCCGGTTATGGACTATTCTCCCTCTGTTATTGATTAATTCTTCCATGATTTGGCTCCTCTGAAACCATGAGTGTTACCCAAACAGGCCTTTTCAACAAGCCGAGTGTAGGCCACCTGCTTGGTCCATTGGGTCTTTTGCAGTCAGTGTAGCTCCTGAGCCTAGGAAGGGAAGCTGGAGAGAGGACTCTCCTAAGATGTGGCACTCAGGCTTGCAACTGGAATGGAAACATCTGGATGGGTTTGGAGGCCTTGGATCCTTGTGACTCTCAGTGTGTATATGTGTATGTCTCCTTTTTCCCCTCTCTGCCTTGCTCCAAAATTAGGTCAAAGTGGAAAACCACTACGACTTCCAGGACATTGCTAGCGTGGTAGCCCTCACCCAGACCTACGCCACAGCAGAGCCTTTCATTGACGCCAAGTATGACATCCGGGTCCAGAAGATAGGCAACAATTACAAGGCTTACATGTGAGTGGGGTGGGTTCCCAGCAGATACTCTTCACTTTCTCCACAACTCAGAGGAGAATCCGAGCCTCCACTTAACAGCCAGTACTCAGTTAAACCTCATCTGGCCCACAAGGCAAAGAACAGAGAGAGGGTGCCATTAAATCAGGGAGTCTTAGCCTGGGTTCCTTTCAAGTCAGGGAGGAGTGGGGGTCCATGAACTAAGATGAGAAATAACATTAATATTTATTTTTATTTGCCTTTAAATGAAATTGAGCATTTTCCCTAGTTATGAACGAAGACAACAGGCTATAGTAGCAGCAGTAGCATGAGTGACTTTGTCACTACAGGTAATCACAGAGGTTCTTGTATTTTTATACAGTTGTGACAGATATCTCTAAATACAATTACTGTTATCACTACTAAAGAATCATGGTAGTTATTGGACCTGCCACTACATTTACCCCTGTAAATATATTTGTTATTTATAAAAAAACATTTTTACTAATCACAGATTTGTTTGTTTAATATTTTGGTAACTATTTTGATAATTACTTTAAATAATTGAATTTTTTATTGTCCTGTGTACTTTATTTTATACATTTACACATCTTATATTTTATAATTAAAAGGACTCCACATGCTTCACCAGGCTGCCAGAGCACAGAAAAAGTTAAGAAACTCCTGATGTAAATATATAGCCTTAGAAACACTATCGAGCCATTAAAAGCCTAGTTGTTATGAGAATGATGACTTTTCTACATAACTGTGTCCATTTGCTAAATGGAAAGTTAAAGGTTTCCACTATTAGAATTTAGAAAAAGAAAAGATTTCAAGACTATCAAGTCTTCCATAATATACTAGTACATAAGAATGCAAATGGGTTATAATTCCAGTTTTGGCAATCTTAATCTCCCATTTTTAGAAAAAAAAATTAGGTAGTTGTTTTTGTTTGTTTTTTTACAAAGACAGAACATTATAGTATATGAATTTGATCTTTGCTACTCATGTCTTCAGCAGACTTCAGGTTTGAATAACTTCCCTTTCCTTTATCCATCATTTCCATTTCTCTTCCTTCGTTCCCTTTTTAGTATTTCTACTTCCCTCCCCTGGAATAGTCAGGAGCCCTTTCCCTGTACTTCCTTCTCATAGCTATAGTGTAGCCCTTTTCTCATATGTGATTTGAATCACTCTCCTCTGATCTCTCTGAGCAGAAATGTTAGAATCACCTCTGCAGAACCACTGTCTTATGCAGCAGTAGGTGCGTAGTGGGCACCCAATAAGTATTCAGGGAACAACTCTTATAGAGAATTGAGGCATCGAATTTCTTTTTTCCTTTATTGACTGTATTCCTACTTTTTGAAAGTTTATAATTTTTACTTGTAGTCTTTCTGCTTCAGAAAGGAATTTAGGGTTGCTTTAAAATTATGCACAATGTAAGGAGAGATAATTTAAAATACCATTGTAACAATACTATCTAAAGCAGAAAATTGATATATTCAGCCAATAAGAAAGCAGATTTCCTATCCTTTAATGTTAAAATCTCCTAAATAAACACAAAATTTTTGACAATGAAGCTAGAGTGTCTTTATCCTTAAAAAGGAGACACACCACATTTTTAAGGGTTAGGGTTTCCAAAAGCAATTTAAATGAAGCATAAGAGAATCCCAACTATTGATAAATGGTGGGCAATCAGAGCAGCTTTAGAAATTATTTACTTCCTTTTTTATTTGCAGGGGACAGACAGTTATTTGGCTCTTCTTCCCCAAACTTTTGGCTATCCCTTTGCTCTCAGAAGAAGGAATTGGCTTGGCAATAGCCAAGATAAAGTTTGAAATTCTTTCCTTCTCCCTCAGTTCTCACCCTAGAAATCCAGGGGCAGACATATTCGGTGTAAAGAAGGTGCTATTCCTGCCCCACTCTCACCAGGCAATAATTTGGGTCCTTTCGTGGAGGTCAGAAGTCCTGCGAGTCTCGGTGTCCCCTTTGTTCCCACACGCCCCAGGTTGCCTGTTATTAGACTTTCTTTTCACCTATATTATAGTGTTAGCCACAACCAATCTCTCCACCTGTGCACAATCTCTCCTCCCCTCTTGCCTACTAGAAGACAACACTACAGCAATTCTTCTGTCCCCTACCACAACCATCCCATCATCTCCTCATCTCTCCAGGTTGCCTGTTATTAGAGAAAGGTGTGAAGTGTAAGGGACATTATTATTGCTCATTCAAAGTTTCTGACAACCTGTTATCAGAAACTATGTACTATGGCCCTGTTCTAGGGACATGGAAATGAATAACTCTTTGCCTCTGCCCTTGAGGAACCCAGCCTGTCACAGGGACACACTTGTAAAATACCAGTGTTAGGAAGACAGTGTTACTTTCATATGATCTGTCTTTGTATTGCTACTCAGATTTTTAAAGCCACTCCACTGTGAGCTGCTTGTTTTTTCTGAGTGGGGTGTAGAGGTAAATGTAGCACAATGAGGGAATAAAGAGACCTGGATTTTTATCTTATATCTACTTTGACTAGACATACAATCTTGGACAAGTCATCCAACCTCTGAGTCTTAATCTCTTTGTAAAGTGGAAGCAAGAATCCCAGCCTATTCACAACAGGGGGCTTGCAATGAGGTTCTGGTGAGGGGCTTGGGAAGGAAGACTCTTGGAAAGCAGTCAGTACTAGGAGTGTGAGGAGTTGTTATTACCACATCACTCAATTCACTGCATCTCAGGGCTCAGAAAAACTAGCTGTACTAGGTTTCTCAGTATTTGAAATCACATATGTAGGGAGGATACTCATGGAAACTGCAGAGTGGAGACTCGCACATCCAATCTCCAACCAGTAGTGAGTGATAAAGACAGCATAAGAAGGTCCCCATCAGTGGCGTGAGAAGGACTTTTCTGTCCCCTAGGCCATCCCCATCCTCTTGACTGTATCTGAGTAAAGATTAATAATTAAAAATACATATTTTTGGTATGTTACAGTTTATTTAAAATGATAAAACAACTTTATGTTTACACATGGATAACAGAGGCTCAGTTAGGTGAAGTGATTCACCCAAGATCACCCAGCCGGTCAAGAGCAAATCCAAAACCAGAAACCAGGTTATCTGCCTCATATTTAGCCCAAGACTAGTTGACTCTAACACAGGCTCATAGATGGAGAGTGCAGACGGCATAGCAGAGAACCGGTCCATTTGATGGATGAAACAACTTAAGCCTGAAAAGGTTAACTGACTTATCCAGAGTCATATTACTAACACTGCAGGCTCTCAAAAACCAATTGTTGAATAAATGAATAAGTGAGCTAGTACAGAAGCCATTGGGAGATAGTCACAGAACTCTGAGAAGGTTTCAGGATCAATAGAATTCAGTTTGTATATACACTGGTCCCCCTTTATCTGTGGATCCCTGAAACCATGAATAGTATCAACCTCTATATATACTATGTTTTTTTCCTATACCTACATAACTATGATAACATTTAATTTATAAATTAGGCACAGTAAAAGTTTAACAATAACTATAATAAAATAGAACAATTATAATAATATATCCCAATAAAGATTATGTGATTATCGTGTCTCTCTTTTAAAATATCTTATTGTACTGTACTCACCTTTCTTGTGATGATGTGAGATGATAAAATGCCTATGTGATAGGATGAAGTGAGATGAATGAGACATTAGTAAGTAATATAAGGGTTCCTTGAACAAAAGCACTGTGATACCACGACAGCTGATCTGATAACCAAGGTGGATACTAAGTGACTAATGGGTGGGGAGCACATGCAGCATGGATACTTGGACAAAAAGATGATTTAAATCCTGAGTGGGACAGAGTGCTAGATTTTATCATGCTGCTCAGAACAGTGCACAATTTAAAACGTATGAACTGTTTATTTCTGAATTTTTTCACTCAATATTTTCAGACTTTGGTTGACCACAGGTAACTAAAACCATGGAAAATTAAACTGTGGATCAAGGGGACTACTGTATGAAGTCAGCCCAGATATTTAGTGGATAGGTTACTGAGTATGCAAGACAATACTATATACCCGTAAGTGGCTTACAGACTTGTGGATAGAAGACTTAGATCAAATAACTAAAGTTAAAAATAGATATAGGATTGAAAGTGACGTACAGGCAGAGTCCTATAGGGGCTCTTAAGAGATCAATCGCTCATCTGTCTGAAAGATCAGGAAGGCTCCATGGAGCTAGAGCAGTGAGCTGGACTCATAGAGGGGAGGAGAGCATAGCAGGTGGAGGTTTGGCAGAGGCAGCCAGGCTCTAGGCTTAGCAACAGGGCCCTGGGCTGTTTGTGGGAGAAGCAGATGAGGAAAGCAGTGGTGAGCTAAAAATATGGAAAATTTTATGCCCTCCTCTTGCTTGGGTGGCTTACTGCCTGTCCTATCCTGGCGGGACCTTGTTGTAGGAGGACATCGATCTCAGGAAACTGGAAGACAAATACTGGCTCTGCAATGCTGGAACAGATCGCCATGTCAGACAGGTGAGTGTAAAAAGGAGTCCAGTCCTTAGCACAGCAAGAGCGGGACTTCTTTAGATGAAGAGTTATAAGAATTGGGCCTTGCCCGAAGGGCACCTCTAATCAGACTGGATGCATAGAACACAAAGGCCAAAGCAGCCAGTTAGCAAGATCAGGCAGGACTAGGTTATATGCTAAGTTATGGAGATAAAGACTGGTCATACCACAGAAGCTCCAAGAAAGGAATAGTTACTGTGGGCTGGAATAGCCAAGGAAAGGCCACCTAGAGTTGATGAGGCCTGCTCTGAGCCTGAAAAGACAGGTATCTGGAGAGCAAAGCTGGAGGGCACAGAAGATAAGGCAATGTTCTTAATGGGAGTGGAGGGAGGGAGGGCTGGAGAGGGGTGGTGATCGAAGCTGAGGCAGCAATGAGAGTATGACCAGAAAGCAGGCTGGATGTGAGCTAATGACCCAGCCTCAGGATACCTTCCCATCTCCTCCAGGTACAAGCTGTGGGTAGATGCCTGCTCTGAGATGTTTGGTGGCCTGGACATCTGTGCTGTCAAAGCTGTGCATGGCAAAGATGGGAGAGACTACATTTTTGAGGTAAGTATGACTTAAGGCGTACCTTAGTAAGAGACAACCCCCAAGGCTGGAAGCCAGCTCTTGGTTTGATGACTATGTGAATGGCCCAGACTCCATTTAGGTTAGACTCTCCTGGCCATGGGAAGGTTCCCACATGACACAACCAGTGGATGTGCATAGCAACACACCTTCACCAATGGGGAGTTATTGCTTTCAACCAGCTTGGCTGACCCACACTATGGGTAAGAGATACTAGATCTGGGTTCCTGGGTTCCTAGCCAAGTATCATTCCTCTGGAAAGAATGTAGTGTTTTTTACCATTCTTGGTCTCAGAAAGAATCATTCAATCTAATCTGCTCACTTTGCAGGTGAGAAAAACTGAGGTCTCATATCATGAACTTGTGCCCAAGGCCACAGAGTGAATTATTGTCTCAACCTGGGCTAGAAATCAGGTCTCCTGGATGCAGGAGATTCTTCTTAGCATCTCTCTGCGCCATGGAGACACTTTACTCAGTCTGGTCTTCAAACACAACTTTTCTGACTTCCTTTTTTGTATTAAAGGGAAAGTCAGTGACAGTATGAATCCTTCACACACATTTCTGCCCAGTCTTCTAACACACAGGAAAGGCTCCTTACCCGGAGTTGGTGGTATTTGCAGAGAGTTAGTGTTAGGATCCCAAAGTGGGCTACTCCATGGTCTGCTTGACATGTAACTTTCTAGATAGTGAGACCTCCTCTCTCTGGGTGGACTTCAGTTTTATCCTCCATCATTTATGAGAGTTGGAATACATTGTCTGTGATCCTAGGCAGGCAGGCTCTTCCTAAAGTGGGAAACCATTGATCTGGACCTTGAATATAGGAAGAATCATGATTGGAGCAAAAGGGAAGTCATCCCAGGTCATGGGCAAAGGCAGGAGTCTAGTCATTTAATGGTCAGAGTACCTGTGGAGATACAGTTTGTGTGGGTGAAAAGTCAGAGATGAAAACTGCCTGCTTCTAACGGGAGCGTTAAGGGACTGGTCTTCAGTTGTTCCTGGTCCCTTCGCTTGCAAACTTCTGAGCCCTTCTGGTCTATACTCTATCTGGCTCTCTACCTCTCTCCACTCACTACCTTCAGTAACCAACGTTTCAGTCTCATTGAGCACTGGCCTGGGTGAATATTGGCGGATGCCCATGGCAGAAGTTTGAAGGAAGATGGGACAAAGGTCCTCTTTCTGCAAAGGAACATGCTTTTAGCTGAAGAGAACAACACCAGCTTTATTCCCAACCTATTTCTGCTGGCTTAAGTCCTACTTACTCTGAAATACTGTACCAGGCCTTTAATGTCTCCAGACCCTTTTCTAACCTGGGCCTTGTCTTCTACCAGGTCATGGACTGCAGTATGCCGCTAATTGGGGAATACCAGGTGGAGGACAAACAACTCATCACCGAACTAGTCATCAGCAAGATGAACCAGCTGCTGTCTAGGACCCCTGTCCTATCTCCTCAGAGACCCTTAACCACCCAGCAGCCACAGGTAAGCAGCTGGGAAGAGACACAAGAAAGCCAAGAACCATTCCCAAGCCCACTGCTCTAGACTATGGTGGCTCTAGGATGGAACAGAGGTCAGATACCTATATGCCTGAATAGGATATATGGAATCTTCTCTTCCTTCCTTCCTTTCTCTTCCCTCCCCTCTGCAGGTCTAGTGGGAAGTACACATTGAAGTTGTTGTGGAACTTCAGGCTCTATGGTTCTAGAATGGTCCAAAGGAAGGCAAAGACCCCTGGGCCCAAGGATCTTTAGTCCCATCTAGGAGATACCTCACTTTTCAAAGATATCCCCAAACTCTTCTCTCCACTGAACTTTTGTATAACAAAGTAGTAAGAACTCTTAATCCAAAATCTGAGTCCTAGTCTAGCTCTTCCCTAGCTATGTGACATTGAGGGGAAGTTACTATCCTATTTAGGGTTCAGGTTTTATCATTTGTAAATGAAAATCTCTCAGAAATTTTTCTTTCAAATTTTATTTCAAACAGGGAAGTAGAACATAGTAGTGACTTAGATTGTAGACTTTGAAGCAAGAACTACCCAACTTTGTATCCTGGACCCTCCATTTATTAGGTTTGCGACCTTGGCCATTTTTATCTCTTGCTCAGGAGAACTGAACAATAGCACCTATCTCCTAGGATTGTTATGAGAATCAAATGAAGTAGAACACTTAAAATATGTCATAGTACATCAAAGCACTCAATAAAGGTCCCTATTGTTACCTGAGTTTAACCTGTCCTTGCCACTGAATTATAAATTGATCTTGGATAGATTTCTTCCTATTTCTGTTCCTTAGCATCTTTGCCTGTAAAATGAGGGTTGAACAAAAACATTGCCATGATCTCTTCTAGCAATAAAATTTAGATTATATGAAAATAATCTCTGAAGCATAAACGTTCAGTAACAAAGAGAAAATCCACAAAAAATTGTTTCTATCTCACAGAAAGCAATAGTTCTTTTTTGGTATAAGCCCCTTACTCTATAAACATTAATGTTGCAGCTTAAATATTTTAAGGAGTAATTCATCAGTCAAGGCAGAAAACCTAGTAAGGAATGAGCTTCCCTAAATATAGGGGTTACTGCAAACATCGCTTGTAGCAAAGCCAATCTGGCTCAGGGATAAGCTTTTCTTTGCTCAGCCTCACATTTGAAGCGACAACAGAATATTGTGGAAAGCATACCATGCTGGGACTTAGGACACTCAGGGGCTAGTCTCACTCTGTCGTACCATTATGTGACCTTGGGTAACTTCCCATCCCTAGACCTCTCTTTTCTCGCCTATAGAATGGAGCTGAATTACATGATCTCTAGATCCCTTTGAATTCTAAGATCACATGAAACATGGAGTCACCCTAACTGCAAAGTCTGAAGGCACAGTCCTCCACAAGACTGCCTTCACTCCTGACACCAACAGAAAGTTCAGAGATTCCCCCAAACCACCCTCAGATTTGACAATTCTTTGGAAGGATTTACAGAACTTATTGAAAGCTATTATACTTACAGGTGTATTATGGGAAAGGATACAAATAAAAAATAAGCCAAGGGAAGATGCATAGGATGGAGTCTGGGAGGGTTCTAAACACAAAAGTTCAGTTGTCTTTAGGATGCATTAGCCTCCTGGCATCCATATGTGACTATAACACAGGACAGATTCCCAACCAGGGAAGCTCACCTGAGCTTTGGTGTTCAGAGTTTTTTTGGGGTCTCATTTCATAGACATTGACTGATCAATCGTCTGGTAGATCTGACCTCAAACTCCAATTCCCCGCTTCCTGGAGGTCAAGTTAATATCATGTGGCCCAAGGAACCCATCATAGTGACCTCAGTATTATACACTATAAGGTGTGATCTAAGGGGGCCCCCACCATGAATAACAAAGATACTCCTATCACTCAGGAAATTCTAAGAGTTTATAGGTTACCTCTCAGGAATGGGGGACAAAGGCCAAATCTCTCTTTGGGTAAGGACAAAGTCTTTATTATATACATAATTAAATTAAATTAGCAAATAAATTCTCAAATGCTTCCAGCCCTTTGTGAGCTAAGGCCATGCCTCATTCATCTGTGTTACTACCGACTAGCACAGGCCTAGCCCAAAGTTTATACTTAAAATTAGTTAATAGAGTTAGGGCGATAGTGATGAATGAGATACAGTTTGTGTCCAAGAGTTATTTATATCCTAAATTGAAATCATGACTAAATTTACAGAGGTCATCACCATTTGTTGGATGGTGTCTTGTATTCTCTGTTAGCTTCCTCTGAACCTTTTGCCTTCACCCAGGCCACCCAAAAGACAGAAGACAACCAACAGTATGCCATACTTGGCAAAAGTTGAAACTTGGGCTTGAAGTCATGACTATTGGTCATATTTCCACCTCCTATTTCTCCTTGATAATAGCACCTTTCCATTGGTCACATTTCAGTCATCATGAATTCAGGCCCATGAGACTGTCAGACCAGATTGCCTTTGTATTCCCACTATCACATCTATCAACATACCTGAATCTTTACCCACATGAAACTGCTTCTAAGGCCCACTCTCTATTGGTGATCTGGATCCCACCATTTTACTTTCAAGTATTCCCTCTGTTCTCCATCTTCAATTTCTCCTTTTCCAGAAGATTATTACATCAACACACAAATATCTCTCACTTAAAAAATAAAAAACAAAGACTTTCCTCAACTACTGCTCTCTTCCAGCTACTGCCCCATTTTTCTGTTCCCCTTCACAATAAACATCTTGAGTTGCCTTAGTCACCATCTTCCCTTTATCATATCAAATTTTCTTTTCAACCCATTCCTATCAGTATTCCACTTCTACCATCCCACTGAAATTACTCTTGTTAAGGTCCCTTCCTTCCTTCCTTCCTTCCTTCCTTCCTTCCTTCCTTCCTTCCTTCCTTCTCCCTCTCTATCCTTACCTGCAGCTCCTGAGTTTTTTTATTTCTTTGATTCTAGAAGAGTACCTAAAGGAGGCTGGAGTGATTGGGGAGTGGGTGGGGAAGGGGAATAGAGGGCACACCTTGCCTATTGTCAGCCAGCCCCATAGCCTAGAATGGGTAAATCATAGAAAACAAAGTCATAAAAGTGGACCCAGGCCAGCTGCTATAACCAGTTTAAAGGAATTGAGGCAGGAGTATGAGAGGCACTGGCTGTGTCTCTGAAAGCAGGGAGGTGAGTGGCAAAGCTGTTGACAACTTAGTCTCAGCGTGGCTTGACTGCCTGCTCTGGGGCTGCCTATTGACATTAGTGTTTTAGAGAGACAGTTCTCAAGGTGGCAGTGACACCTGGTGGCCAGAGATGGCCAAAGCCTCCGGATCTACCCTCATATTCGCTGACCCCGTGAGGCCTATCATCTGGGATCTGAGCTTAGCTTTACATCCTGAGGCCTTGGAGAGGCGTGGGCTGCTCCTGAGATTCCCAGGAATCAGAGAAAGAACGTCAAGTAGAGCAGAGCTTTTAGGTCATGCCAATAGAGGTGGCATCCTAGTGCTCGCCTTCATGTAGCTAATCTTTTTTCAATTCCACTGCTCCCTTATTTTTCTATCAAATCTCTAGGGCCAAAGGGCTGAATAGCTAATTCAGGGAATTTAGACACTAATGGGCTTTCTATTCGGCTTTGAGTTAGACCTATGAGGAGTGATTCTAAGACTCAGCCTTTGGAAACATTAATACATGTATGGTGTCCAGGAGGAAGACAAACCTCTTCCCCTACCCTGAACTGCTCATACCACACTTGCAATGTTTTTACCAGTCTGAAGGTCATAGTATACCAAGGATAAACTCTAACTCTACCTGGATCATTCTTCTCAATGGAGAGAAAACCAGGAGGTTGAAGCATTTGGCAAATGTATTTTTTTAGAGTTAAAGTTGCTATAGTTGAATAGTAATAGTCTCAAGGAGCCCATGATTTGATATTTTCTGCTTTCTGATAGCTGTCATGAGATAGAACTGCTGCCAAAAGGCAAACCTACCTACTGGAAGATAGGGGTAAACTCTGTAACAGTGGGGGAAGAATTGGCTGCTCTGGGAAATAGTATGTGACTGTCACATCATTGCTGATGTTCAAACAGGGGCAGGATAAGCCACTTGCAGGGACATTGTAAAAGTGTGGTCCAGGGGCTAGGGCTGTTGGAGCAGGTAAATTTTAAAATCTCCTTCCAGATCTGGGATGCTGTGATTCAGGCCCTGTGCTAGCCACAGACCTGGGAAAGGCAGTATTGAGAGTTCAGAAATGAAGGACTGAGCTCTAATAACCTATGGTCTCTGGTGGGACATTCTGCCAATCCTTTTAAACTGGCTCTCTGGTCTAAAGAGATACCAAAAACATTTCCAGCTAGGTCTTTCCAGCCACAAAAGCTTGAAAAGATGAGGTCTCTTGAGTGCAAGGAGATCAAGACTTAGAAAGTTGTTTCATTGTAGTCTGAACAGCCATGCAGTTAGGGAGGGAGCACAATTCAGATCCAAACCATGGGATTAAGAGAGCTTCACTTAGCTTAGAAGAAGTAAATTTAGGACAAATGAAAGGCCTTCCTGCTTCCCACAGCAGAACTGGCTTTAGAGAATTTATTCCCCAGTGATTATAAACTGAAAATCTAAGGAGATTCGAGGCAGGTTCAGATAAAGTCACTAGTGACTAGATCCCTTAACAGACTATTAAGAGAAACTATTTTGGGGCTGTCTTGACTTTTTAGGGACATTTTTAATCACTTGAAGCTGACATTCTGACCTCAAGTGACCTGGCCCTCAGTGCTCCCATAGGTCTCGTGGACTGCCTGCCTGGGACATTTCTGATGGCCTTAGAAAACCACTGATTATGGGAGAGCCCCAATCCAGGAGATGAGCTCTGCCCTCAGAACAGCCATTCCCCTCACAAAAGAAGGAAGAGGAGCTCATCCCTGGGCACCTTTTATATAACCTTTCAGAGGAAGGAAGGTGGGCATTGGCAACTGCAGAGGTGATCCCAGAAAGATCCCTGAAAACATGCT